TTGTATCTTCAGCAGTCGGCTCTCTCAAGTACTCAGGGCCAAACACAGCAATAACAGCCTTGCAGAACTTATACAGGGACTCTAGGCAAGTAGACTCGCTCATACGGACGTACTCGTCAATGAGATCACCGGGCACTCTGTATGCAAGCATTCGGATGGCGGCAGTGCATTTCTGATAAGAGAAAAAAACAATCTTGCCAACGGCATCCTCTTTGCACTCGAAATAGTCATCATAGCCGACCACCCCCTCTCTAATACGGTTGAAAACGTGCCTACTCATATGGAAATGGCGGCGAAATTTCTGATGTTTGAACAATGGGTTTGTTGTATCAAAGTAGCCCTTCCAAAGAAGGAAATGCCCGCTCTCTTGGTTGCGATTCAACGTCGAAAGGTTGCCCGGAATGGAGCCATGGAACAATGGCCGCTGGCTGTTGAGGTGGTGATGGACCAACACGACAGCCAATATATCCTCCTCGTCATCGGAGGACGAATCATCGGAGTCGCAAAGGAAATTGTGAAAAAAGAACTCGTCGGCGGAGTCCATTTTTGTACCTTGGCAAACTGTCGAACAGCTTGCGGGCGTCGGCGAAGGAGACGGCTGACGAAGGGAGTCGCGGCGCACGGACCAGCTGCTGTCCTGCCGGTGTCCGACGAGCGTGCCGGTGAGGATCTGGCCGGGCGGCGAGGCGGCTTCTTGGTCGGGGGCGGCTGTGTGGTGGGAGGCGCGGGGGATGGGAAGCAGTCGGCTCCCGGCGGCAAGACGGCGGTGGCGGGCAACGTGGGAGTGGGCGGTGTAGCTGAGCGGATGTGAAGGCCCCGACAGCTGGCAGAGTCACCGGCAAAAATGGGTGGCGGCATCTGCGACGGAGGAGGAGGGCGAGGGTTGCTGTTGGATGGGGGAGGGCAATGTGACACAGACCAGCGGGACGGGTGGGAAGGGAAGGGCGAGCGTGCGCGCGTCCGTCGCGTGTCCGCGCGGACGCAAATCCGGCTAAAAAATAGGCCAGAAATGGGTCGCCCGCGAACAAAAAGCGACGCACGTCCGTTTGGGTCGGCGCGGAGAAATGGGTCGCCCCGTTAGAGTTGTTCTTAGGTTTAAGATCCAATCCAAGGGCTTTGCATTTCTTGAGGAAAAATAAATGTCGATATAAACCGACCTATTTCAGATGGATGCTTGTGGAACAACATGCAAGCGTAGTTCACCTAGGCAGGAAAGAGATGAGCGGAAAGAACATTCTGCCACGGCAGGCACAACATGCGTGCAGGACGCAGCTGTCCACAGACAGAATGTGCAGCATTTAACCGCCTGCCCTGGGTAATGATAGCGACTGTAGTTGGTTGGTTTACTTTTTGTCGTGCCCAACTCGTTTCCGCGCGGGATAGCTAGCCGTGTAGAGTAGCTGGCATGCCTGCCCCTGGTGACTCGCTGAGGCCAACTCCACCTCACGACCCCAAATGGACGTCCGCTTTGTCCGGATTTTGTCTGTTTGGGATGGCAATGGGTAGAAAAACGGACATGCTTGTCCAGCTACTGTTGGAAGTGCCCACCGCGGCAAATCACCCCAAAATGTCCGCCCGCACGTTTGTCACCCTGTAGCAGCATCCAGTTCGCCCGCGCTTGCCGGCGCCGCAGCCCACGCGCTCTCCAGCCGCGCCCTGCCGGTGCACTCGTCCACGCAAAGAAGATGCAGCACATGCAGCGGTTCGCGCAGGTGGCTGGCTGGGTAGCATAGCTAGCTAGCTAGCTAGCACACGCCACAGCCCAGCACGTCCGCATGAGCTCGCCGCGCCAGCAGCCACCGCCTGCAGCCGCACACTGCCCGCGCCACGCCCCGCTCGTCGCCGCGCTGGGCCTGCTTGCAGCCGCGCACCGCCCGCGCCCGTCGCTCTCCGCGTGCGCACCCGCGACCTGGCCGCCCTGCCGCCCGTCGCCCCCTGCGTGCGTTGCTTGGCG